CCTCCATCGCCGAGTGGCTCGACGCAGCAGAAGTGGCTCCGTTGCAGTTTCAGATTCATGGAGAAGGACCGAATCCGCGTTTCCTCTTACAACTCCTTGGAGGTCGCTCAGCCGCCATCGCCAAATCAGTGGCCCTTGCACGGGCACTTCAGTTCCCAGGCCGCGGTGGCTACAGGCAGTTCACAGTTCAAACGCCAACCGACAGCGCCATCAAACATGGCCAGTACGTCCCGCCCCACGTCAACCCAGACAAGCGCATCAAGCGCATCAGCAGGGACACCCAAACTAAAAAGCTACTCGCCCTCTGCCAGGCTCACTACCCCACGCGCAATTGGCGCGCGCGTCGCGATCTAGGGCGCAGACTCTGCAACACCATCCCCGCCGCCAAACTGGAGCTCACCAGCGTGGACGCGGCAACAATCATTCGTTGGAATCAAGATGCGCTGGCCAATATTTCCATCGACGAGGCCACTATCGATGCAGAATTTGCCGCCCTCTACGAAGCCGAGGATACAGTGAAGTGGATTGGACAGACGCTGGTCGCCCCGGCGGACGACTGCAACTGATGCTGGTCACGCGCGCCCTCCTGCACCTAGCGCACCTGCAGGGCAGCGGCCGCGCCCTCTACGGCGCCTCCGACCAGCACCTGAACAGGCGCCACCTTGTCTTGCCGCTGCTGACGCTCCACAGCTTCCCGGTCGCGCGGGCTCCGCGGCATCGCAGGCCTCATCCTGCACAGGCCGCGCCGCGACGACAGGCGCACGGGGGTCGGGGCGCCCCTGTTGCCCCCGAGGGACTGGAGAGCCCTCCATATAGCTTTTTGGTTGTCACGGGCCTTGGGGGGCCCGTAGCAGCACTTCTCCCCCAGCATGACCTGCTTCACCCAGCTCAACCCCTTCTTCTTTCAGAGCAAGATCATCGTCTCAAGACCGACAAGGCTCAGGCGGCCTCAGTCTCGGGATTCAGCTCATCATCGGGCAATGATTCTTCTTCCAGCGCTGGCAGCTCAGACTCTTTTTCCTCGCCCAGCACATCTGCGCGCGCCCGTCGTGCCAAGCCGGCGCGGACTATTACCATACTTACTGCCTCAGAGGCCGCAGGCAGCTACATCTGTTGGAGCGCCAGCGGCCTTCTTTGTCATGATGATTGCAAGAGATGGGGAAGATTGGGCAGATGACTCCCTTCATGCGCAAGCAGGCCTTGATAGCCCTGCAAGAAGTACACGGCTCTAAATTGGATCTCGAAATGCACATCGGCAAACTTCCGCATGATCACCAACTGCATTTCAGCGGCTGCCCCATCAACCGTGGCAAAGGGGGAGTGGCCTTTCCGGTCCCGACACCTTCACCGACCCCTACATCAACGTCGTTCTGGCCAGCTATCCGCGGATGAGCGGCCGTTCTGCACGTTACTAGCCACGCCGCGGGCTTCGATACGCACATTATGAGCGTACGTAATCACGACTCGCCGACAGCAGACATGGACAGAGTGGCCGAGGCGCGGCGTGCCTCACGGAGCTGGGCAGCAGCAGTGTCCCAGCAAAGACTCTTCATCGCCATGGGCGGCTTCGATGCCAGTGCCGTTCCCTCCTTCAACTTCAAGGATCCTTCTGCGCGCTGGCGGCCCATGGTACCTGGCGGGCAATATCGGCGAGACTAGGCGCGGCGGCGCCAATTCTTTGCCTCGCTCACAGAGATCGTGCACGACCTCGCCAGGCACTTCTCGGCCAACGCGCAAGCGGCCACGGCAACCGACCGCGTCTTCATATTCCTCTCGGGCAGCGACCTGATCAACGGGGACGCGCACCTGAAGATTCACAGAGACGGTGCAGCACTATCCGACGATGGCCTCAGCGATCATGCAAGTATTCATTTGCTTCTGGTCAACGCCTCAGCTTCGCGGCCAGAAGAGCAAGCCATCGACCCGATCATCTTCCACGACCCCAACTACCAGCGCCATTTCAACCATCTGAAGGACAACATTGCCATGGCCGCGCTCACGCCTAGCGCGGCTTGGAAGCAGCGCGAGCTCATCATCAAAGAAGCGGTTAGATACACTCGCAACCTTCAGCAGCGCGCCTCCCTTCAAGACCAGTCGCTGGGCAAAGCATAGCAGGCCCGCTACTTTCCGTGCAATGTCACGGGCGATTTGGAGAACATATTCAGACACAGCGGCGCTCCTCTTGGCCACGAGCGACATCGGCAGCGCGCGCCTGCGCCTCACGGACGACGGCCCCGAGCTCACGACCAGGGACGAGTATATCAAGCTGGTCGACACGGCGGTCACCGCCGATTGCGACAGGCGCGTCGCCCTCGCCACGAAGCGCCAGGTGCAGTCCAAGGCCGAGATGCAGTTGGACCAGGCCGGCAGTCGGAAGGCCGCGATGCAGCTCACGCGCCGGGCACAGACCTGGTATCCGTTTCGCCGTCGACTCGTGCTTTCAGGACTTAGGATACCGAAAGAGGGGGCACCAACAGCATCCCCCACCACCACCACCACCAGTTCCCCCGAGGGTAGTCCTTCAGAAGTTTTGGCCGCCCATCTTCTCGAGCAAGATCGTGGGCCCCGTGGCGGCCCGGCATCGCTTGTCCCAGCACCTCCCCAAGTTCGGTTGCGCGGACCTACGGGTTCCAGATCTTCAGGACTTTCTGGGAGCCCTCCGCAAGGTCAGACATGCCGCTCCAGGCCCAGATCAGATTCCACGCGCTGCATGGGCCACCTCATGATGCAGATGTTCGAAGCGGGCCTGGCCCCGCACCACTTCAACGACTCGGTCTTCGCGTTTCTTCCGAAAGGAGACGAACCCCAGGGCCAGCATGCCGTCTTTCGGGTTCCAGGTGCCACTCGCCCCCTCTCCTTAATGAACTGCGACGCCAAACTGATCGCTCGTGTCGTTGGCATGGGTCTCGTGGACATGGTCAGGGATCGGACAATAGACGCGCGACAGGGATCGGCAAAGGGGCGGAACTTCGGACAACACGCACTGATCCTAGACTCTGGGGCCCGTAGAGCAGGTCACTCCCCAGATGCCCCAGATGCTCTCCCTATCTTTGTCAGCTTTGATAGCACAGCTGCCTTCCCATCCTTAGGATGGGAGTTGTTGTTTGCGTCGCTGGTAGCTCACGGGGCCCACCAGGCTATCTCAGTGTCATTTATGCGCTTTATCATCCCCCGGGAGCCTGGGCCCGTGTGGGCGGCCGTCTCCAATGCACGTTCGAAACAGGCTCAGGCGTTCTCCCCCTCTCGGGCTCGACTCGGGCCCCGGCCTTTGATGCGCCCGTTCGACACCTGGTCCAGATGTTTAACGCCCTCCCTGGATCCAACATGCTCGGTGCCTGCGCAGATGATCTGGGTCTCATCCTCGCTCGCCTTGGGACCCCCCCCCCCCTCCTTCCCCCGTTTCGGGCCGTTGCTACTCTCGCAGGACTCGAACTACAGAACAAGGAGACAGCGATTGTGCCCGCATGGGCCCCCTGATCACCTGCCGTGCACTCTCTCACCCAACGCCTCTTGGCATTGCTGGTGCCTGAGTGGCAGCGCGGTCAGAGTCCAGAATACGTTTGCTACCTAGGCGTGCTCATAGGCCCAGCAGTAGTTTTAGACACCCAATGGGAAACCGCATGTGATAAATACTGGTTGCTCGTGGTACAATTAGCGGCGAATGCCCCTGGCCCTGCAGAGGCGCTCAAGCTGTACAAAACATGTGTTATTACTCTCCTCTCGTACCTCACGCAGTATTTTCTATTTCCAGTCACGTTCTGCGGCACGAACGCGGCGCCCTGCATCAGATTCGCAGGGCCCCCCCCAACTCCTGGCGCCTCGTCGACCTCCTCGGTGCTCGCTCGCGGTCGCAATCGCCCTCCCCCAATTCGCTGATCACGCTTTCACTGGCCTCAGCGTGGCGCGCGGCCTCTGCCACGCTTCTCAATTGGGAGCCACTGCACAAGTCCAGCTCAATCTAAAACTGTCTCTGGCGGATTTGGTCCAGGCCCGCATTCGGGCCACTGTTTCCCCCGTGCATTTGGGAGAGCCCTAGCACTGTCGAATACTGGCGCGAGCTTGCTGACGGCAAGCCACCGCACTCGGTCTCACCGCTCGTCTGGCGTGCAGCTCAGCGAGCGGCCGCAGACGAACAGACTGCCGCTGCCCAAGGATCCAGGCGTGCTAGGGTCCAGCGATCCCTCGCTCCGGTCCTCCACTCCTCCCTTTTTCTCCGACAAGTTCGCAGAGACTCTAGCACGCCGTCTCTCATCGGCGCTGCCCGATCTCGCAGTGCCAGTGAGCATGTCCGACCGCTGGCAGGAATTAACCAGCTACCTCTCGACGAGGGCTCCAGCCATTCGCTGGGTCGTATATAAGACTCTGGCGGGAGCGTGGTGGACCAGCCGCCGCTTCCCCGTCGGCCCGTGCCGCACCTGTCTGCTCGGGCGCGATGCTTGCCCAGATCGTCTCGGCCATCCCTTCACCTGCCCCCGCCTCCGTCACTTTCTCGCGTTATCTCGTTCCATCCTCTCCTCTGACCCCTTCGTTCGCATCGGCCTGGGGACGCCTGCGCAACGCGCTAACCCTGAGCACGCCGTTCCTGGATCTGTCCGTCGGACAGCGCTGTCGTTTCACTTCTACAACAAACTTCGCGTCATCACGCGCGCCGCTACACGCTACACGCGCCGCGTTTCTTTACAGTACTGGCACTGAGTGCCGCGCCGCTGCACTGCGCTCGATGAGGCCGTAGCCTGAGACGAACTGGAGCGGGGACACTTGCCCTCTTCTCGCGTCTTGCCCGCTTGCCCTCGTGATTTCCTTTTTTGGTACGGTCACTCCTCCTCCCCCTCCTCCTCCTCCTCCTCCTCCTCCTCCTCCTCCTCGTCCTCGTCCTCCTCCTCCTCCTCCTCCTCCTCCTCCTCCTCCTCCTCCTCCTCCTCCTCCTCCTCCTCTTCCTCCCACCTTGGCCATTTTCCTGCTACCCCTCGGTGCCCCCACCTCCCACCACTTCCACGCAGGCCGCGCAGATGGGCCAGGCGTGGCAGGAGAACTTGCAGAGCATCGAGCTCAAGATCAGGTGCCCCCCCTCCTCGACCTCCCCATCGACCTTTTTCCTCCTCCTCTTCCTCCTCCTCTTCTTCCCCCTCCTCCTCTTGCCCGTCCTCCTCCCCTCCCCCCCGCCCCCCCATTCAACCTCCCTCCCCTCCTTGTTTTCCTTCCCTTGTTCTTTCAATCCATTTTTCTCACCTTCGCCCTTACACCGCCGAACAGTCGTCGCCAGGGGAAACGCCGGACTGCGGGTTCACCCGCGCCTGGGGTGCAATTGCCTCGCGCGGGCCTCGAAGATGCAGCGCTCTTTGGGGAGGAAACTTATCACACGCCGCATCTGTTGCCATGTGGCCAGCTTCGTAAATTCGGGGGGCTGCTGATCGGACTCATGTCCAGCAGCGTCGCCAGATTTTGTCGGGCAGACTCCCCTGGTCTCAGGGAGCCTGTCTCCTAGCCCCAGCCCCTGGCCCCTGAGTGCCCCCCCAAAAAGGGGTGAATGCGGAACCGGCTTTGCAATCTACATTGTTTTTCCCAACATCCAAAATGGGTTTTTTGTCCCCCGCATCCAAGGTGGGGTTTTTGTTGTCTCTGGACACCCCGCGCCGGAAGTCTCACCCCTTACCCCTCCGTCTCCTCCTCATCACCCAGCACCTCCTCACTCACACTCACTCATTAGCACAATCCTCGTCATCGTCAGCATCAGCATCATCACCGCCATCAACATCATCATCATCATCATCATCATCATCATCATCATCATCATCATCATCATCACCATCATCATCATCATCATCGTCATCATAATCAGCATTTCTTCACTCACTCACTCACTCACTCACACACCCAGACTTGAGGAAATGTCAGGCGGGAGCCTCGTCTGTGAGTGAATTGCGAGGAAGTCTCAGGCGGGGGCCCCCTCCCTATAGGGCCCGCAGATCATGTTACTAATCCGAGCGGGTCATCCAGGTCCTGTAACTGTCCTCATTTTGGGGTTCCTGAGTCCTGAACATGGGGAAGTATCAGGCGGGAGCTTCGTCTGTGAGCGAATTGCGAGGAAGTCTCAGGCGGGAACCCCCTCCCTATGGGGCCCGCAGATCATGTTGGCAATCCGAGCGGGTCGTCCAGATCTTGTAACTGTCACAATTTTGGGGATCCCAAGGCTTGAATATGGGGGAAGCATCACGCGGGAGCCTCGTCTGTGAGTGAATAGCGAGGAAATCTCACGCGGGAACCCCCTCCCTATGGGGTCCGCAGATCATGTTATTACTCCTAGCGAGTCATCCAGATTTTGTATCTGTCGTCATTGTTGGGCTCTTGAGGCTTGAACATGGGGGAAGTATCAGGCGGGAGCCTCGTCTGCGAGCGAATTGCAAGGAAGTCTCAGGCGGGAGCCCCCTGCCTACGGGGCCCGCAGATCACGTTGGCAATCCGAGCGGGACATCCAGATCATGTAACTGACGTCATTGTTGGGCTCCTGAGGCCTGAATATGGGGAAGTCTCAGGCGGGAGCCTCGTCTGTGAGTGAATTGCGAGGAAGTCTCAGGCGGGAAACCCCTTCCCTATGGGGCCCGCAGATCACGTTGGTAATCCGAGCGGGTCATCCAGATCCTGTAACTGTCGTCACTTTTGGGCTCTTGAGGCCTGTATATGGGGAAACATCACGCGGGAGCCTCGTTGCGTTGAGTCCGATCGAACAAGTCGGCCCTGTGCAGAGCTCGGGGGAAAAAAACAAACAATGCGCCGTAAGAGCTGCACGTCGTCAAACCAACGACGCCGCGGCCGGCCTCTGGTACGATGCGGCCGGCTGTTGTTCAGCGCCGCACATGCAGTAGGGGACCATTCGTGCGCTAGTTTTGGCGGCGACGGAGCATGGTGGGACATCAGACGACTCAGTAAATGCTTCTTGCAGTTTGATACAACCGAAGACCAATCTGCAATGTAGTGCAGGCGCCTGGCAGATTCGAGCCTCTGCTTCATTCTGCGGCCAGCATCTTCCCACGAATCGCTGTCGTCGAACACCCAGCCGACCATTCGCCGGAGCATTTTCCTCTTCGTAATGTCTAGGTGGTCCAGCTGCTTCTGATCCAACGCACAAGTTTCAAGCCCGTATACCAACGTAGGTGTAACGGTCGCGTTGAAGAGCTTCAGACGCAGCTTGACTTTGACATGCCTATTCGTCAGCGAAGTTTGCCGAGAACGGAATTTCAACCATGCGCAGCAAACGCGATGGTCGATAGCAGCCTGTCCGCGTTGTCGGAGGTTGCCCGGCCACGCCCTCCCGAGGTATTTGTGGGTTCTGTCAGCAGCCACAAGCCCCACGAACCCATCGGCTGTTTCGATCAGAACAGTGTCATTATCCGTGACCGTCGTCGACAACATCTTCGTTTTCTTCACGTTGAGTTCCAGACCATAATTGCGAAGCGTCTGCGTGAGCATGTCTAGTATGTCCACAGCCCCTTCCACACTGCTGGCGAATAGTAACAGATCGTCTGCAAAACGAATGTTCGACAGACGCTCCTTGCTTCCGTCCGAACAGACAGCCAGGCCATGACCGTTCAGCTTCGCCTTCCACTCGCGGATAGCAGCTTCCAGGACACTGTTGAACAGGAGCGGAGATAGTACGTCGCCCTGTCTGACGCCCCGGGTGATAGGAAACCAGAAATCCTTACCCAAGACACCTGTTTGAGATTTGTACAGCGTTCGCAATATTTGGCAATATCCAGAGGGGGGTCCCTGCGCTTGGAGAGCGCGGAACAGTGCCGGCTGTTCAACCCTGTCAAATGCTTTGCGCAGATCTACGCTGACCAGCCACAGGTCTTCGTTGAACTCGAGGCTCTTGCTCGCGAGGCTTTCGGCAACAATCAGAGCGTCAGCAGTCGACCGGTCTCGTTGAAAACCATTTTTTCTTCGGACTCTTGCGAATCTAGAATGCCGCGTATCCTGTGGAAGACCACTCGAGCAAGGATCTTGTAAGAGACGCTGAGAATCGCGATCGGCCTCCAACTGTTCGGGTCTGCGGCGCCCCCGCCCCTGTGCAAAAGTTTGAAGAAGGTCTCTCGCCAGTCAGCCGGAACGCAACCGCTCTACAAAATTGCATTGAACATGTCAGACGATTAGTGCAACATATCGTCTCCGCCAAAGAGGAACATATCCAGCACTACGCCCTTCGTGTCAGCAGCTTTGCGTCGTCTCATCGCTTCGACTGCCTTCGCAACTTCTTCGACAGTAACGGCTGGCACCTGGTCCTCGTCATGCTCGCCCGCGTCGGGCGGCGCGCTGGGCGTGTATATCTCCGACAACAGGTCGGCACATTTGCGAGAATATGGACCCTGTTGCGAAGATCTTGTGATAGGGGATCTGTGCAGCGCGTCCAGGCGACGAAGATCACTGAAGCTAGCGAGCATTTCAGCTGTTCTGGCTGTCTGTCGTGCGCGAGGCTCTTTCCGGCTCAGCCTCCAGATCTCCTTTGGGATATCTCGTCTCTCGGCCGGGTTGGTCATGCATCTCCCCCTTCTTCGCAGACGGTCCAGATGGCTGCCCCCGTTGCTCTGCTGGGCGGGCAACCGGGGCCGCTGCGACTCTCCAGCTGCAAGAAGAGCGATGCGCCCCACGTCGCCCGCAGATGCCGGAGGGAACTCCTGGGCAGCGATCTTCTAGGGCACCTTGGTGGCATACATCTCCCAATCAATGTCTTTGTGCGTCTGCCGGCGCTTCCGTCGACTCCTCTGCCCAGCCAACGTCGGAGCTTGAAGGCGCACCAGCACCGCCCTGTGATCTGAACCGAGGTCAAGCATGCTTGTCGGCTTTGCACTGTGGAAAGATGTGCAACTGCTGACCATGACGTAATCCAGACGGCGGAGTCGTCCGAGGCAGCTGCGGAAAGTCCACTGACACTCGAAAAGTTCATCCTCGACTACGTTGCACATCACAAGATCCAGCTCGGCAGCGAAAGCTGATGATATTGCACTTCCCCTGCCTCTTCCAACCTCGATATTGAAATCTCCGCCCAGCACGCGCCGGTTGTTCTGGCTCTGGGCTTCGAGAACAGCAAAACGAATCTCGTTCAAACACTCTATGAAATCGTCGCGCGGGCAACCGGCGTGCTGAACGTAGACGGATATCCATCTGCAGGTGTGCCTCCCAATACGTATATGGGCGCGCGTCTTCCACCGCTCGCAAAGCAAATCGGAAGCCACCAGGACCAGCTTGTCAGCCCCCTATATGCCGCCGCGCTGGTTCCGGGCAGGCTGCGCTGTCCGGCGGACGGGGGCGGGGGGGGGGGAAGCAGGCAGACGACGACGAACGCCCGGGCGGGAGGCCAGGGCCGGCGGGGCGGGCGGGCAGGCAGAAGACGGGCCAGGCGGAGACGGCAGGCAGGGAGCAGGAGGAAAGGAAAGGGAAGGAAGCAACGAGCAGAAGCGAAGGAAGGGGGAGGGGGGGGAGGAGGACAAGGAGGAGAGAAAGCAGCGACCGCAAGCAGACAGGCCGGGCCAGGGGCCGGGGGAGAAGAGCCGCCCGCGACGAGGCCACGGACCTTACGGCGGCGACCTGGGCGGGGTGGCCGGCCGCCCGAACCCAGCGCGACGCGGCTTGGTGGGGATTGCCTTCTGCGGGGCCCATCCGCCACCCCGCCGGCGAAGGGCCAGGCGGCGCGTGGGAGGGGTCGAGGCCGCCGCGGCCGCGGCCAGGCGGGCCGCTGCCACCCCCGCCCCTCCAGACAGGGTCCGATGGCGCCGCTGCACCGCCCGCGCGTTCTCCCTGTGCAGGGAAACGGAAAGCCGCTGGGCATGTTGGTCCGCAACCAGTGCGGCGTCTTCCCCCGTGGCGTCAGCCACCCGCTTGGCCAGGACCCCGAAGGTCCTGCGCGCCTCGCGGCCCCGCCCGCCGCCGCGGGCTTCCACCGCCATGGAGGGGAAAGTGAAGCCCTGTGCCGCGCAGAGCCGCGCGGTGTCCTGGTGCTGCCTTTTGAACTCCTCGTACCGCTCCGTCGCTGCGCTTGACGAAGCGGCCGACGCGGCGAGGAGATCG